GGGAATAGCTAAACAAGTTGTGATATATGAATATAATGGAATAATATTGTACTATAAGAAATGATGAGCAGGCAGACTTCAAAAAAACTTGGCAAGGCTTACATGAACTGATGCAGAGTGAAATGAGCAGAACCAGGAGAACAACAGCCACATTATGGGATGACTGATTGTGATAGACTTGGCTCTTCACAGCATGCAAGAATCTAAGACAACTCCAAAAGATTCATGGTAGAAATTGCTATCCACACTCAGAGAAAGAAATACGGAGTCTGAATGCAGTTGGAAGCATGCTATTTGCTCTCCTTTTCCTTTGTTGTTTTGTTTTATTGCTTCATTCTCATGGTTCCTTCCGTTAGTTCTAATTGTTCTTTACATTTTGACTAATGGGAAAATATGCTTAACGTGAATGTGTATATATGTAGAACCTATATTGGATTGTATGCTGTCTTGGGGAGGTGTGGGAGGGAAGAAAATTTAAAACTCAAAATCTTATGGAAATGAATGTTTAAAACTAAAAATAAATAAAATAATTTTTTTTTTTAGCTCTTCTAGGAATTCTTCTTGTACTTGTGTCCAATTCACATTTTTCTTTGAGGTTTTGCTTGTGGCTGTTTTGACTTCATTGTCTTCTGAGTTTGTATCTTTATCTTCCCTTTCACCATAGTAGATTTTTATGGTCAGGTTCTTTTTATTGTTGTTTCTTTATTTTTCCATCCTTTTTCTTGATTTTGAACTTCATGTTAATTTTGGGCTTTCCCGGTATGCTGGTGGGGATGTGTATGTGTGGTGTGTGTGATTGTCTCAAGCTTCAGACTTTTTTATACTGGTGTTTTCAGAGCTAGTTCTGGGGGTGTGGATGTTTCCAGTGCTTCGAAGTTGGTGTGATGTGGGGCAAGGTGTGGTCACTGATCTCTTGGACTGGAATCTGGGCCTTACCCATTAAGGGCATTTGATCCCTTGAAATTACAGTCAGTACTTCTCCTCAGGGCCGCTCCTCTGTTAGGATGGGAAGTTGTATTATTTTTGAGGGTTCTTGACCCCTTGGAGGCCAGAAAGAACACTGCCCCTTAGGGCGTCCACTCCCTCTTGACAGAAATTGAGTCTCTCTGCGCTTGAACTGTGATCCAGAAGTGCTTATAGGCAATGGAGTTACCAGTGTCTCTGTCCTGTATCCAGTGCTAGCTATGGGGTACCCTGTCATCTGTTTTTGACCACTTTCCAACTCCCCTACTGTCTCTGGCTTGAAAGCTCTCAAAGCTGTTTCTGTTTCTGTCACCACCACCTAGTCCCACCACTGGCATCCAGGCAGGCTCTGGGCCAGCCTGCTTCACTGTATCACAGATTTCTCTTTCTAACCTCCTTTGTCGTCTTGGCCTGGAAGAATGTTTCACTCTGATCTTTTGTTGGCTCTGCCACTCCAGAATTTGATTTGAGGCATTATTTTAAAGTTGTTTGGAGGGGAATGTTGAAAGAACTCAACTTTCTCTACTCTGCCATCTTGGCTATATACCCTAGAAGTCAGTATGCTTATTTTCCTATAGCCTCTCTAATATTTGTCATTTTACTTTTCTGACATCTTTTACAATCTGGTGGATATAAGGCAGAACTTCAGAGTTGCATTAATTTCTCTTTCTCTTTGTTCAGTTACTTTTTCAGTTGTGTCCAAGTCTTCGTGACACCATTTGGTGTTTTCTTGACAAAAATACCAGATTGGTTTGCCATTTCCTTTTCCAGCTCTTTTTATGGATGAGGAACTGAGGCTAACAGGGTTATGTGACTTGTCCAAGGTCACACATTTAATAAGTGTCTGAGGCCATATTTGAAGTCAGGAAGATGAGTCTTTCTGACTCCAGGCCAGGCATTCTTTCTACTGCACCACCTACTTGCTCTAAATTCCTCTGTTAGCAATTTAGAGTATTTTCTCTCTGTTTTGGTTGTTGGTAACTTTGATTTCTTCCTTTGATAATTGCCTTTATATGTCCTATGACCATTTATCTATTTGGCAGTGCATCTCAGTGTAGTGTATTTGAATCAATTACTTATATATCTTTATTAGGTAAACTTGTTGCAAAGTTTTTCCCTCTCAGTTATATATTTCCCTTCTGTTTTTTACTTCATTAGATTTGTTTGTACAAAAAACTTTAATTTTATAAAATCAAAATTATTTTTATCTCCCCATTCCTTTCCCTGAAGCCATGCAACAATGAATTTATTTTAAAAATAAAAAAAAAAATAGCTAGCACTTACATGATATTTTAAGGTTTGCACATCACCTTACAAATATTATCTCATTTGATCCTTACAACAACCCTGGGAGATTGGTGCTATCATTATCTCCTTTTTACCAGTGAGGAAATTAAGGTACTTTAAGGCAATTAAGTAACCTACCCAGGGTTATGCTACTAGTGTGTGTTTGAGGCTGGATTTGAATTCAAGTGTTCCTAAATCCAGATCCAATGCTTTAATCCTCTGTGCCACCTAGAGAAAAACCAGCAAAACCATTCAATATCTCAAAAAAATCTGAGTTATATATACATTGTTCCACACCTGTGGAAACCCTGTTCTCCCAGACACAAAAGGAGGGGAGTGGGGTCTTCTTATATTTTTTCTTTAGGAATAATAAAAATGTTATTAAAAAAAAAGAATATGAAGGAGAGGGAATGATTGAATGGACAGCTTCCCATAGGACTTGCGAGGGAACAGGGTCAATCCCATACATAAAGGGATTAGCCTTGAAAAGGAGTAGACTCATCTCTTCATCAGAGACGAGAAAAATGATTTGTGTGACCCAGAAAATTGTAAGAAACAAGTTAGGAAGGATAGGAGGGAGGGCTTTGGGGGAAAGACACTAAATTCAGTTTTGGAGATGTCCAGTAGGTAGGTGGAGATGCTTGGCTGTAGGGGAGGGAAAATGTCAGGGCTAGACGTTATAGTCTCTTAATATATGACTATAATAATTTTTTATTTGACTTTTTCTTTCTTAATTTTATCTTTTTTTTTTTTTTAAGTAGATCAAATCCTACCAAAGCATACTCTCCTACCTCACATTCACAAATATTTAGGCCAGGGATGGGGAACCTACAGCCTCAAGGCCACATGTTGCCTGCTAGGTCCTCAAGTGCAGCCCTTTAACTGAATCCAAACTTCACTGAACAAATCCCCTTAATAAAAGGGTTTGTTCTGTAAAACTTGGACTCATTCAAAAGGCCACACCCTAGGACCTAGAAGGCCACTTGCGGCCTCCTGGGTGCAAGTTCCCCACCCCTGATTTAGGCTCATTACAAGTTAATCTTAGGCTATCCCTTGAATTTGAAGGATAGTGGTGCTAGCTGCATTTGTCTTTACACTTTCTCTTGCCTTGTTTTTCCTTGTGAACCGTGGCATATATTTTTAGGAATAACATGCTTGGTTTAGAGGTCTGTTACGTGGTTATGGAATAGAACAAACACTCATTTGGGTATCTAATTTTGTTTCATTTTAGAATCAAATCTGAACTTGGCGACCTTCTCTGAGAAGTTAATTTACTAGTCTAGGGTAATATAGCCACTGTATGTCAGAGGCAGGACTTTACCTCGTGTCTGTTTACCTCGTGTCTGACTGTTAGGCCAGCTTTCTCTCTATCGTGAGGCATATTTGTGAGGGACTACTAATGAGATTTTGAGAAAGTAAAAGGCAAATTTTTTCCTAATATTATTTTTCCCTTACCTGCATTTCCCTCCTCCAAACCTGTAGTGTTTTTTTTTTTTAAGCAATGTCTAAATCTTTTGTTTAATATTAACTTATATCATTGTAAGCCAGGTCTAACTAAATTGTACCTCTATTGATGGTCTGAATAATTTCACTTTGAGAGGAAAACTGCCCATATTTGTTAATTTATAGAAAAAGCAAAGTGTTATTTCTAACATATATGGAGAATATTTTATTTTTCAGTGTTTTAAGAGTATGGAAAATGTTAACTGGTTTTATATGAAGTTTAATCATTCTATAGTAATAATAATAATAATAATATCCCAAAGAAATGAAGCTTTGTTTTTAAAATGGTGTTTAAATATTAAATCTTATTTTGTGCCAGTCTTTACTGCAGTGAAATTTATATATGGATTTATTATGCTTATCTGCCTACTACTGCTTTCTGTTTAAAATAATTCTTATTTGTTCATTTTAGGATACTGTTCTTTATCTGGTAATTTGAGAAAATCCTAGTTGAATTATGTTGCCACATTATGTCTTCAATAGGGCATAAAGTCAGTACACATGCTTCAGTAATATCTGGTTGTTTTACCCTTATGTTTCCAGTTGGCAATTTCAAATTATGGCTTCAACTGCACTTTAAATATGTGATAATAGCATGTGTTCCTAATAAGGGCCAGTACCATTTTGTTCATATAGTGTGAATGGTTGTCACTCATATATGACAAATGCACCTTCATCTGCTTCTTTGATAGCCCCCTAAAAACCATACCCTCAAATCAGACCGATGAAATTAGCTGCTGTGTAAATTGTGTGTCTGAGTGGTTCATTATCTAATCACCGTCAGAACCACAGTGATAAAGTAGATTGAAGCAGAGAAGAGGTCTGCCAGATGATTTCAGGCCTTGTCTCCTCCCCCCACCCCTACTCCCCAAAATCTGTTTTCCTTAGAAACCTTAATGGTACCGTTCAGAACTTAAGAATTCCTTGCTGGAATTCGAGATGTTTAAATGTTCAAAATGTGGAGCAACATTCCTATAACTTAGTAAAATTCTCATTTTAAAGTTTATAATTTTGTCTCTTTGAATCTGTTTTTTACTTGCTAAACTCACTTGTTTTGAGGTACTTTGTTTATAAATTTAATGCACAATAATACTAAATTGGGATAAAATATATCATGAATCAAAATAGAATTCAAAATACTAAGTATAGTTTTGATTGACTTGCAAAGAATTTTACATTTATAGTTATTCTTATTTTGTTGTATATCATTTATAAGCTAAATTTCTTCACTCTTTGATATGTTTTAGGATCATTTGAAGATGATGACATTACTCACATCGAAGGAAGTGTAGATCCTGTTCGAGATATAGAAATAATACATGAAGAGCTTCGACTTAAAGATGAGGAAATGATAATGCCCATAATAGATAAACTAGAAAAGGTGGCTGTGAGAGGAGGAGACAAGAAATTAAAACCTGAATATGTAAGTAAAAGTATGTAGTTATTTTGTATTCAGTTTCTGTGCTCCATTTTGTTAAAGATATGCCATCCCACGTGTCCAGTGTTCCGCATGTACTTGTGATCAAAGGTCATGGGATAATTCTATGAAAAATCATTGAAGTAGAACTGCATTGTTTGTCGGTAATCTAAAGTCTTGGTGACAGGTTAATTAAAGTGTTGTTTCTGAGCTACTTTTAGTTAAAGTGGCGTGAGTTTTTTTTTTTTTTTAAACCATTAACCGAGTGAATATTATATGAATAATTTTATATTAAGATTTCAAGAAGTGTGACTCAGTATCTGTTTTTCAGAAATAATTTGTTTGGGAAGCTAGCCATTTATTCTTAATGAAGCTCAAAAGTAGAAAGAGAAGGCTAGGTATTTGGAAAAAAATGTAAGCATATGTTTTCCCTACAAAGTAATGATCACAGAACTTGAAAATTGAAAGGCAACTTAATGGCATTCTGGTTACAAAAGGTCCTAGTCAGGAACCCCACTATAACATAGCTAGTAAATTTCTCTGGGCCAAGTGACTTGAATTCATCAAGGGCAGTTTGATGCTCTCTTGCTACCTTCTTATTTTGAGAACTCCCCTCCTGATCTTTAATTTCCAATGCAAAGCTCCTTTTACCTTAGCAGAGAAAAGATAAACAAAATGTGAATTGAACAGCTCTACCTTCTTTCTTTGATTAGCTATCATCTGGTCCACCCCAAATACAGTTCCTTTCCCTCTTTTTTCTTCCGGTGTAGCTTTTAAAAACTCCTTTTTCTTGTCTTCACTAGCCTCAGTTCATTATGAGCTTTAACATTATTGACACTATTTTTATATGCACATACTATGCTTTATCAATCCCCTTTATCTGGCCTTGATTCCATCTTTTGTATGTACATGCATACACATGTACATACATATAATGTGTAGACATATGTGTATACTCGTGTATATACACACACATGTCTCTTGAGATAAATTTGCTTTTTCTTCTCAATGGAATTTCCCTTGTGTATTAAGAATTTTATTCTGGAGCCACTTCTGCTTCTCTTGGACTGGTTTCTCCTATACTGTTTTACTTTGGGATTCTACCTATCTTTTGAAATTTGTGTTTCTGAAGTGTTAGGTGTGTGTCAGGCTATGCTTGGATTTTTTCTTTCTTTCTTTTCTTTTTTTTAAATTACAAACTCTGGCAGTCCCCTATTGTATTGGAAGCTTCTTGAGGGCAGCGGCTGTCTTTTGCCTCTTTTTTGTATTCCTAATACTTAACATAGTGGCTGTCACATAGTGGGCACTTAATAAATGCTTATTAATTGACCAGGAAGGAGTGGTCACTTCGCTCTAGAGTTTCTATCAGTCATTTCCACCTCAGCAGCACATTATTTCATGTTAATGAGCATCAGTTCCAGAATAGAATTTCTCTTCTTTGGTTCTTCCATATTTTGAAGGATGATATTCTCATTAATTCAAGTTAAGAAGTTATTAGCCACTCTTCTTTTGGCACCAAGTTCAAATCCCAGCAAGTCACTTAACTTCTCTTAACTTCGGTTTCTTCTGTAAAATGAGACTGGACTTTAAATCCAGTCTAAGGTCTCTTTAGTTATAGTTCTTTAAGCCTGTTATCTTAGGAAAATCTCATTATTATTTTTAAAGTGTACTAGATACTGCCCTTTCAAAACCACACAGTTCTTTTAAAGATCATCAGGATAGGGGGGAATGGATTTTGATCTTGTTGGAGGGTGTACCTAAATTAGTGAGTTTATGGATCTATTGGAATATTTGAGAATTTCTTTTAATCCTGTTTTGATCCTTGGTTTGAGGCAACTTGGAATTAAACAATTAAACTGTACATCATCTTTTGCTCTTGAATATCTTGCTCCCCTGCCCAGTTACCCCTTATGCATGGCCAAACGTAACCTTAGCTCATTCCTACAATATATTCCTCTTGACCTGCTCATTTGGCTACTGAGTAGAGCTGTGTAGAAATTCATGGAAACCTGGTGACTGAGCCAACTACAGATTTATGTTAACTTGCCTCAATTGTCCCCTCACTAAAACAAGGCAGTCCTTTTAGTCATAAGTAATTCTGTTTCCCACTTCTAACACAACTTTTTTTTTTTTTTTTTTTTTGGTGAGAAGTGACTTGCCCAGAGTCACACAGCTAGTGAGTGTTATGTGTCTGAAGTCGTATTTGAACTCAGGTCCTCCTGACTCTAGGGCTGGTGCTTATCCACTGAGCTACCTAGCTGCCCCTCACAGCATTTTTTTTAAAAAGGGTATTTTTTTTCCCCTCTTCTTCTCAAGCCTCCCTTTCCAAGCTTAAGAAAATAGGGGCCATTCATTTTGTACAACCTTTAATCTCTTCCTAAATGCTTACTTCTCTTTTGTTGCTTCTAAGCACAGCCAGATCTTTCTTTTTATAGACTCTATCCTGTCAAACTATTATCCTATACCTCAGTCAGTCTATTAATAAAGTATTTATTAAGCACTTAATATGTATAATGAAAAGTGCTCAGCACTCTGAATGAGAAGACTCAAGTGAAATAGTCCATACCCTAAAGGAGCTTACATTCTAACAAGGGGGAGATAATAGGTACACAGGTATATAGAAAACATTTGCAAAAAGCTAACTTTGGAGGGGAAGTGGCAGTTGGGGAACCAGGTAAGCCCTTATGCAGAAGGTATCTCCTTTTTTCAGCCAAACTCCTGGACAGAATTGTCGGCACTTATGACCTCTGCTTTTCTTCTCACTCCTCAGACCTCCGTATTCTGGATTGTACGCTGGATTTGATCACTCAACTGAAACTATTCTCTCCAAGTTATCTTTGATCTTGTGTTGCCACAATCCAATGTCCTTTTCTCAATCTTTATCTTTCTTGACTTATGTTTAGCATTTGACAATGTTGACCACTCTTGCCTGGATACTCAGTCCTCTGAGTTTTGGTGACATTGATAGCTGGTTCTTTTTTAGTCTTTTTTTTTTCCCCTCCCTGGGACCATCAACCATATCATACCTTATGGGTGAACCTCAAAACTCTTACCTTGGGTCATCTCCTATTGCATTCACTATTTCATGAGACTTCATCAGCTCACAGGCATCTCTATGTGGAGGATTTGCATATCTATATATGCAGCCTGAGTCTCTTTCCTGATCCCAAGTACATTATCACTGGCTATTAGATATTTGAAAGTAGATGTACTGTAGGCATCTCAGTATCATCTTGTCTGAAATCCTTTCTCCCATTTTCTGACCTTCATTCTTTCTTCTGAGGATACTACTACTCTTCAAGTCACTCAAGTTCACATCCTCACTGTAATGCTCAACTTTTTACTCTTGACTGTCCCCCATGTATCCAGTCATTTGTTATCCCACATCCATTCCATTCTTTCTAGTCTCATTTTTTTCCTTAATTCAGGCTTCATTACTACCTGCCTGGACTATTGCAATAACCTCTTATTTATTCTCCCTTCTTCAGGTTTCTCTTTATGCCAATGCATCCTCCATATAACTGCCAAAGTGATTTTCTTAAAATGCAAGTCTGAATGTTTTAGTTCTTTACTTAATAGGTGCCAGTGGCTTTCCCTCATTTCTACTGTAAAATATAAGCTTCTTTGTTTGGTAACTAAAGCTCTTTACAACCTGTCCCCAAACTACCTTTTCAGCCTGATTGCATGTTATTCCCCTTCATGTACTTTTTTTTCTTTTGCTTCTATCCTTAGTGCCTGGCACACAGTAGGCACTTAAAAAATACTTGTGATTTTCTGATTCATAGTACATAAACTACTGAACCCTTTCTTCCCCAACTCCCTTTAAAAACCCAAAAGAATGGAAGGGAGGAAAAACCCTCGCAACAAGCATTCTTCAAACACAGTGAATTGACAGAGTGGCCATATCCAAAAATGTATGTCTCTTTTAACTTGAGTCTATCACCCCCTTAGGTTGTAGGTAACATGCTTGATCCTAGGTTCCCTGGAGACATGGTTAGTCATTGAATTGATCAGAATGCTTAAGTCCTTCAGACCTGTTTTTCTTTACAGTGTTGTCAGTGTATTAATTATTCTCCTTCATACCACATTAATTTAATATTAGGTAGGATTCTCTTGATATTGTTTCTTTTGTTATTTTTTATAGTCTAGAAGTATTCCGTTATATTCATATACCATAATCTGTTCAGGCATTCCAGTTGTTAGGGCCTCCCTTAGATTCTAGTTGTTTATCTTCCTTTTAGTCCTCTCTCCACCCCCTTTTTCAGAGTCAGAAAGTTTGCATGCTTTTGACTGTTCCCTCTCTAGTGTTATTCTTCCTGTTATCCACCTTCCCTATCCCTGCTCATATTCCTACCCTATCCCTGCTTGTGTTCCTAATGAACTTGATAGATTTCTACACCAAAAGTATGTGTGTCCAGTCCTTCTTTGACCATTTCAAGTAAGAATGAGATTAATCTGTTCTCTTACCTCGTCCCTTCCACCATCTTGGTATATTCTTCTCATATGCCTTTATTATGAGAAACAGCATGTTCCTTTCTTCTTCCTTCCTATACTAGTGTATTACTTTTACCCTCTTCCCTTTCCCCTTTTCAACTCCCCCAAATAGAACCAATCCACCCTCCAGGACCTCTGTTTTTCTTATTTAACTCCCTCAATACCCTTTGAAGACATTAAGGTTATGAAGGGACACTTGGTTTTCCCTTCCAATTAAAATGGTAGCACTCCATCATTATATAGTTCCTTCTAGTTGCTCAAATAAAATTACCTTTCTGTATTTCTCTGTAATCTTGTGTTTGTATTTCAAAGTTTCTTTTCAGCTTTGCTTTTTTCATCAGGAGTGCTCAAAAGTCCTCTATTCCCTTAAAAATTTTTTCTTTATTTTTTTTTTACTGGATTTTTTTTTCTTTACTGGATTATATGAAACTTTGCAGGGTAATTATTCTTGGTTTCAAGCCTATATCTTTTTTGGATTTTGGAATTTTATGTTGGGCTCTGTTACTCCTAGA